CCCCTGCCCTGGCCAGGACCCCGCCACGTCCCGCCCCCCGCATGCCCGGCCCAGGAAGCCTGACTTCCCCATACGCCCCCAGCCCTGCCCCAGAGCCTACAACCCCCCCCCCTGCACACCCAGCCATGCCCTGGGGCCACTTCTCCCCTAGCCCTGGAGCTGTTGCACCACCCAGCTGCCCTGCTCAGCTCGGTGCTGCTTCCCCTCTCGCTGGTGCCGCTGCCCTGGCTCTGGGGCTGGCAGCTGCACCCCAGGGCTGCCCAGGGGGCTGGCCCCGTCCTACCCGGGAGTGGGTGCTGCTGCTCTAGGGTCCCTCCCCTTCTACCCCCAGGCCTCACTGCGCGCCAGGGCCCCCCTGCCTTGCCCTGCCGCCTCGGGACTTACTCCCATCTCCCAGCCCTATGCCTGGACTGCTTGGTGCTGCAGCACCCTGCTCCCCCACCCATCCTGGTGAGAGCCACTGCTGCCTTTGCTGGGACCCCTGCCCTGGCTCTTCCTCCTCCCCGGCACAGTCCCAGCCCTGCCCGAGGCCGGGTCTGTGGACGGGCCCCCCCCTGCATTGGGATCAGGCCTTGCGGACTTACTCCCATCTCCCAGCCCTATGCCTGGACTGCTTGGTGCTGCAGCACCCTGCTCCCCCACCCATCCTGGTGAGAGCCACTGCTGCCTTTGCTGGGACCCCTGCCCTGGCTCTTCCTCCTCCCCGGCACAGTCCCAGCCCTGCCCGAGGCCGGGTCTGTGGACGGGCCCCCCCCTGCATTGGGATCAGGCCTTGCTGCGCCCTGCGGCCCTGGCCTGTAGTGGGGCCCTGTGCAGACATGCAGGTGATGCAGCAGCCAGCATGGGATCCCTGAGGACTGCTGCACCTTTCCCCTCCTTCCCTGCACCAGGCTCTGGGCGCTGCTGTGTCTCTGCCCCATCCCCATTCCTAGGTGGCTGCTGCAGCCTGCGGCTCAGCCCCCAGCCCCGGTGCTTGCAGTGTGAGGCGCGCCGGGAGCCTGAAATGAGGCCAGGTCAGGACTCTGCAGTGTAGGGAGGGGCCCAGCTGCCTAGGGCCAGAAACTCTCCAATGGGTTAAGTTTTCCTGTCCGGGGACTGCTCTAGGGCTTGGCTGCTTCCCTGGCAGCTTCCCCTTTCTCGTCCTTCTGGCTTCCTGGAGCTTTTCTCCCATGAAGCTGGTTCTCTTGTCGCTCTCCCCACCAGCTTTCCTGTTGGGACTCCTTTCCCGGTTTTCCGTCTTCCCCACAAACTCTTAGGGCTCGGGCTGTCTTGCCTTTTTCCTTTTTCCTTGTGCCATCTTCCTTTCCTCCTAGGAACTCTTCCTCTGTCTGTTCTGCCTACAGCCCTTTGCAGCAACGGTCGCTCGCATTTCTAAAATGCAAAGTTACCTGGGAAGAGGGATTCACCCTGAGTATTTTACCCAGGGAAGGCGGTGTAGCGAGTTCGTGTCTCGTCTAACGTGCTGTGGCCCAGCTAAGACAAGAACTGAGGAAAATGGGTTCCTAGGTGTCATCTCTGGTGTTATTTGCTGACTTGACATGTCTGTGTTGTGGGGTGGAAATTGTGCCTGTTGTCTTTTTATTTTCAGTTTCACAGCCCCTGATCTCTTTCTTCTAGGGGAGCCTTCTCAGTGGTCCGCCGATGTGTGAAGAAAAGTTCATCCCAGGAATATGCTGCAAAAATCATCAACACCAAAAAGCTGTCAGCCAGAGGTTAGTACCCGGATTAGCCTTCCTTTGTGAACAGGAGGGCTGTGATTGGAATTTTAGTTGCAGCAAGTGTATGGGCGCCAGAGGTGGCTGTCTTGGTTTTATTCGTGCAGTGTGAAGTAATAAGCAGTGATGCAAATGGTAGCCTGAAGGAATGTCGCAAGATCCCAACTTCTGGGAGTCCTTCCTGCCATCTCTTTTCGAGGGCCTGTTGTGTCCTCGCTGTGCCAGCATTGCTGGAAGCCTGGTCAGAGGAAACGTCTGGCCTGTTTCGGGAGGTATCACAGACGGTGCGTTCCTTTTGTAGCTAGTCCTGTCTCCAATCCAAGCACGTTTGAACGGGCTGGAAGGGCTCTGTCCGAAAGGAATGAATGATATTTCTGTTCTCTTCCACCATCCTCCAAAGCCTCGCTTCAAAGCCGGGACGTGTCAGCTAAGCTCAGGGCAGTGGGGTGGAAGGGAACCGAGAATCTGTCATCCCAGACCTGGCTGCTGAACTTCTCCTGTGGCTTGCACTGGTTCACTTCAGCACCCGGGTTACGTATGCATGAGGCGCGAGGCGGCGTCCCCTCTGGAGGTGCCTGGGCAGGAGCTGAAATCGGTGAAGGGAACGGGATTGCAGCGGGAGGAGCTGGCTGGGAGCCCTGCGGGGATGAGGCGAAGGGTTGGATAAAAGTCTCCGAGGAGCTGGAAGCTGAGCTCTGCAGGGTGTATCCAAAGGGCGAGCCCAGAGAGGCAGGTGATCGGTAGCACAGAAGTCGCTCAGGCTGGCTGGCTCATAAAAGGAGGAAGGGGTGCGATACTTCTCCCCGGTGCAAGGGGGTGCCTGGCGGAGCTTGCACCCGGGCAGGGAACAGCAGGTGCCAAGGGGGGGATCGGTGGGTCGAGGATGACTCGGGACCTTGGGAGGAGTGCTGCAGGCTGAGGCTTTGTCCTGCTAGTCGGAGTCGAGTTGAGATCCCAGGGAGCAGCCGAGGGAGCTGTGCGTGCTTGGCCGGAAGGCTGTCGATTCATGGAGCACTGGCGTCTGTGCTGTGCAGTTGCCACGGGAGCACACGGGGGTGGGCTAGCAGCGCTGGTTACGCAGGCTGCTACCGGCGCAGGAAACGGGCATTTGGGAGACCAGCAGCCAAAACTGAACCCTAATGTTCCAGGGACACAACCGGCCGACATCGGGGCTGCAGTCCCTCAGAGGGAGGGGCGGGGAATACTGGGAATTCACCAAAGCAGCAGGAAACAGGTTTCCCCATAGCAGAGTGGTAGTGAAATTATCTGGTAAGGTTGCAAGAAATAGCAAAGCTATGGGGCTAGAGCAGTGATTCCCAACCTTTTTCCCATGGAGGAACCTCTAAAATAATTTTTCATATCCCAAGGAACCCCTACCGATGAAAACGTTTGCTTGGCCGGAAAAAGTTGACAGCGGGAAGCGCAATTCAATTACTGCTAAATTATTGTCAAGAAGGTTTATTTGTAAAGAGCTGTTATATATCTAGTCAGCTTACATTGTGAGAAAAAAAGTATTGATTTCTCGCGGAACCCCGGACGATGACCCGCGGAACCCTGGTTGGGAAACACGGCTAGAGGAAAACGAGAACAGAACGTTCCTAGGCCAGTTCCAGGGAGTCCAGAAGCACCAAGTCAGACTCCAGGTTCTCAGACAGCTGTGGAGTGCTGAATACAACAGGCGGGGAACGTTATCGCGTGTCACGCTAGGCAAAGGAAGTAGAGAGTCCAGCTAGAGGAGAAATCCTCCTTGATGTACTTCCTGCCGGTAGGGAGTCTTTGATTGAAAGAGTCAGTGGAGTAGGGCTCCTGTGCCAGTGGGCGGGAGTGCTGTTAATCCAGGGTATTGACGCGGGGCTGGTAGAACACAGCTGTCCTACAGTATCTGATGTGGAGAGAGCTAATGTGAGAACTTGAAACCGACCGAGAGAGAAATATTGGGAGGAGGAGGAAGAGGAAGAGGAAGTGGCTGATCAGGCTCTTGAGGCCCCGCTGAAGTATCTGGGCTCCTGTGCCAGTGGGCGGGAGTGCTGTTAATCCAGGGTATTGACGCGGGGCTGGTAGAACACAGCTGTCCTACAGTATCTGATGTGGAGAGAGCTAATGTGAGAACTTGAAACCGACCGAGAGAGAAATATTGGGAGGAGGAGGAAGAGGAAGAGGAAGTGGCTGATCAGGCTCTTGAGGCCCCGCTGAAGTATCTGAGGGGGCTGCTGGGAACGGGGGCTCAGACATGACGACCGTGTAAGAATCTAGCTGGATAAACATTCAAAGTAGAAATGCTGGGGAGACGTCGGGGCTGGTGCCCAGTGATAAGGGAGCTGAATCAACAACTCAAAGGGTGGAGCTGGTGGGCAGTTCTTTTTCAAAAGCTCTGTGATGGCAGCAGGACAGGGACATGAATGCTGCAGTAGACTGGGTTTCCTTTGCCTGCCCTACCCCCTCCGATGTTAGTTCTTGCCTTGTCGGGAGCATGCATCCAACTGGCTTCTACGCATACTATGGTATCCCCTGGGGTGTCCCTGCTCAGACTTTTGTGAGGCATCTGGCTGGGTCCACACACACCCTTGAATTCAAAACGCCTCTAGCGACATGAAATGACACGGGACGTGCTAGGCGGATTCAAAACCGGGTAGCTGATAGATTTCAGAGTGTGAGTGGGGAATTGGCAGTGAGTGGTGTGTGCGTCGGGTGGCGTCTTGCAGGGATCTGTTCTTGGCCCTCCGCTACTTAACGTTTTTATCAGTCACGTGGAAGAAAGCATTGCGCCATCCCTGCGAAGCTTAGGAGAGTGGTAAATAACCAAGAGAATGGCTCACAGGGCAGGAGCAAACAGATTCTAGGCCTAGGCCAGAGATGCAGGCCGGCCTTACAGAAGATTTGGGGTTTGTGGGGGATAATGCCAGTGCGGTGCTGTGGCCAGAAGCTGAGGGTCATGACCCCTCAGGGCACGGTGCTGTGTCAGCCCTGCCCGGGGTGGGGCGGACAGCCTGAGACCCTGTCCGTTTGCAAGGGAGGCTGCCCTGCGAGGCTTGCTGCGTGACCGGGGCACTCGGACAGAAAGCTGGAGCCCCGCGGGGTGCGACGCGACCCTGCAAGTGCGTAAACGGGGAGCGTAGGTCCAAGCAGCTCGCTGCTGTCTGGCAAAGGCGGGAGCGCGCTGGCGTGAGGCGTCAGGTCGAGGGCCCAGGGGCTGATACGTGGGAGAGCGCTCGGGGAAGAGCCTCCGGGGCGAGTCCAGGGTTGGGAACCCTGAAGCCGGGGGCTGAACCTGTGTTTCAGCCGGGATAGATGGGACGGCCTCAGGCCAAGCGGTCCGGCCCTGCCCTGCCGGGTGCTATCTCGTGCTCCCTGTGCAGCGGTTCGTCTGCCAGCAGGCTGTCCCTCCGTGCCATCCCCAGGACTCACTAGGGCCAGGAGCACGGCCCTGTGTCCACGCTGGCTGTGTGGGCAAAGGTCCTGCCACGGCCCGGCCCCAAGGAGAGCAGAGGCGGGGTGTCTGGCGTGGAGGCGCTGGGGGAGCTGAGAGGCAGCGAAGGGATGCTTGGGGAAAGGGAAGTAGGCCAGAGACGGCAGAGAGTCCTACGGGCTCTGCTGGCGAGCTGCAAACCACGGCTTGTTCCCTTGGCAGCCACACGCTGAAGGGAGC